GTTGTATTGTTGCTTTGGGGCTTTGGTTTGGGGGATGCTTTTGTATGCACTCTGTAAAATTATTTTATTTATGTTACTAGCTTCTTTGTTGGTGTTGGATGCTATTGGTAAACTAGTGCTAAAGTAGTTCGTGAGTGTTTCGTATTTATCCCAATCTGCTAGGTTCATAATGAATCTGGGTAGGTACCTATTTGTTTTTTTATTCTGTAAGGGAAACATTTGTATAACAATGGGGAAGTGATCACTTCCTTGGAGTGTATCGCTAATTTTGAAGGTAGAGTGGATTTTAAGATCTGGAGAGCAAAGTGTTATGTCAACGTGCGTGTACGAGCTATGTGTGGAGAAATGTGTGGGCTTGCCATTGTTTAGGATTATATGGTTGCTGTTGTGAATGAATTTTCCTAGCATGTTCCCTTTTTTATTATTCTTAGGTGATCCCCACAAGCTATTCCAACTGTTGAAATCGCCTGTGATTAAGGATGGTGTATTTTTGGTTGGAAACATTATTTCCAAGTCAGTTTGAGAGAACTTTTGATTTGGGGGAATGTACGCCGCGAATATAATAACTTTTTTGGCTGAATGCACTTCAAGAGCAATGGTATCGAATATACGCCCTGTAGGAATTTGTGTGTGTTGCAGTGAATTGTGGATTAGTAAGGCGACTCCGCCTTTGGCTACAATGGATATTGTGTGGTAAATTTCAAAGTTTACTGGGATAGGGATGTTTTGGGAAGGTGTTATATAAGTTTCTTGTATAGAAATAATTTTCGGGTTGTATAGTTTTATTAAGATTAAGAGTTCGTTATAGTTGTTAGTGTATCCGTTCATATTCCATTGTAGTATATTAAAGGACATAGTAGAGAGATAGATAGAATTTAAGGGGCTAGGTTAGTTGTATTCTTATTTTAAATTTTCTTAACTTTAGATCTGGTTTGTATTGGGCTTTTTGAGCCGTCATTTTTTAGAAATCTTTTTCTCTTTTGGATAAGTTTTTTGGGTATACTAGGCAATTAGAATTCGACTTATCATTTGGATTTTTTTCCAAACTGATAGAGCTGGTGGACATTTCGTCGTCGTCGTCGTATGTGATCGTTTTCCGTTGGTTGCTTGTTGATGGTTGCTCCAGGGTTGTTGATGGTGAAGGTTCGGTTAAACTTTGTGTACTTTTTGTTCTTGATTTGCTTGGATTTGTGTAGATTTGGCCACTGTTGAATACAGAGAGCCGTCGTGCTGATGTCTCTGCATGTAGATGGACCATGCTTTTCGGTTGTCAACTTTTTGTAACGTTTTTATCGCATGTACTTCCTTGTGAGTTATAAAGACTGGACATTTTCTGTCCCTTGGAAGGTGATTGGTGTTAGGGTATTTATTCTCATTGCAATTTATACAGCATGGGATTTCTTGGCATTCTTCTCCTGTCATAGCGTCGGTATGGATTTTGTGGCTGCACTTGAGGCATGATCCTTCTCTTTTGCAGAACTTCGCAATGTGTCCAATGCGCATACAGTTCATGCAACGCATTGGCTGAGGGATGTATGGTCGAACGTTTATTTTTTCATAGCCGGTGTTGATGGTTTCTGGTAAGGTGAGCAATGAGTATGTGAGTATTATGAGACCCGTTTCGCTGGTTACACCGAAGCTTGCCCTTTTTGTAATTTTGTGAACTTCAATTACTTTTTGGGACTTTAAGTTCTCTAATATTTCAGCCTCTTCGATGCCTCTCAAGTCGTTGCAGTATATAACTCCTTTGCAGTAGTTAAGTGATCTGTGTTCTGACACTTGAATTGGGATCTTGCCAGGCATTGTCGTAAGTTTAATGAGTTTTTCAGCTTGTAAATTGTTCTTCGTTTTGATCAAAAGGTTTCCGTCTCTAGTTTTTTTGCATTCTGCGACTTCTCCACCTACGGCAGAGTCAATAGTCTTTTTGATCAAGAACGGTGAGGTGTTGCTAAATGTTTCGCTGTCCGATCTGGTGATATCGAGGTACTTCCCGTCGGGTGTGGGGGGCCTCTTCCAGAGGGGGTCCAGCATTTGATTTTTTGGCGACTTAAGCTACACTTATTGATTGACGAGCGTGTGTCGGATTGTCTTTCGATATGATAAGCGATCTATTAATAGATTCACGATTGTGTTCACTTCGGGTACTTGAAGGTTTTTACTTGATCGATCACAAGAAAAGCACAACCGTTCGTTTCGACTGTCGAAATTGAACTGATTGACCCTGCGTGACAGCTGGTTCACGCGTGAAAATTAATTTTTTGAACTGAAGGGAATGCATTGTACTGGCATCAGTGAGCAAGCGATTGTAGAGCTTTCGCACTCTTGATTTGCCCCAAACTTGTTTATTATGTTTTTTACACTATTAAGCCTAGTACTCACATCGACGACAGATACGCGGCTAACGCTTTTCGCCGCGGTACTTAAATGAGCTAAGGAAATACCAGAAAAAATATCAGATTTGGCGAGAGAATTTCGATGAACGACGTTAGTCCCGGGGCAAAGAATGGGAAATTTAATCTTTGGCGGTGTTCGTACAAAAGTGGCCTGGAAACTAATAATTGATATGGAAGATAAAACCCAAAACCGCCAACAGGAGGTCAGTGCAGATAAAAATGGACGCCTAATCCAAGCTGTTGCCCATTATTGTGGGACTTCACCGGCAGGAAGCAACAGCACAACATGGCAAATCCGCAGAGTAGTCAAAGTGCTGGAGAAGAAAAAGGCCGCCCGCTAAGGGACAGCAGGAGGAGTCATTACCAGTCATTACCAGGATACTGGGCGACGGAACAGCCCCGATCCCAACCCGGTCCCACTTCCTCAAGGTCCAATTTGCCAATTAATATTCCATTTGTTATACCCGTTACTCGTAGAGTAAAAGGGTATACTAGATTCGTCGGAAAGTATGTAACAGGCAGAAGGAAGCGTTTCCCCATAAAGTATATATATTCTTGATCAGGATCACTAGCCGAGTCGATCTAGCCATGTCCGTCTGTCTGTCCGGATGAACGCTGAGATCTCGGAAACTACAAGAGCTAGGCTATTGAGATTTGGCGTGCAGATTCCTGAGCTTCTTACGCAGCGCAAGTTTGTTTCAGCAGAGTGCCACGCCTACTCTAACTCCCACAAACCGCCCAAAACTGTGGCTCCTACAGTTTTGGGGCTAGAATAAAAATTTTAACTGAAATGTATTGTTCTCATCAATACCTATCGATTGACCTAAAAAAGTTTGCCACGCCCACTTTAACGCCCACAAACCGCCCAAACCTGTGACGCTTTGCTGCTTGCATATCTCCATTTAGCTGAGTAACGGGTATCTGATAGTCTAGGTACTCGACTATAGCGTTCTTCCTTGTTTTTATTTTAATTTCATCGTGCACCAGCAGATTCTTCTTTTTTAAATTGCTCCAATTGATTTGTTTTTTGTTTGTCAACAAACCCAGCTGCTTGACAGTAAGTCCACGCCGATCTAGGCTTAAGTGCTGTTAAATACTTTTTTCATATAACCCGATGTCAATTTGTAAGCAATTTAAACAAGAATTCCCAATTTTTTGAAAATCACAAAATGTACAAGAACTTTTAACGCCTTAACATAAACATACAATTTGAGTTTTCTAGAATTATCACGACCTCATACAAGACGTCGAAGATTCTAACTTCTTAAAGCCTAGTACTCAGATCGACGAAAACCGCGAGCTAACCATAGGAGTGAGCGAGAGGCAAATACGCGGCTAACGCTTTTCGTCTGGTCTGTTTTTCAGCGCGGTACTCAGATAAGCTAAGGAAATACTAGAAAAAATACCAGATTTTGCGAGTGAATTTTCGATGAACGCCGTTAGCCGCGGCCCAAAGAATAAGAAATTTGATCTTTGGCGGTGTTCGTGCAAAGGCGATGTGGGAACTAAAAATTAAAAATGGGAGAAAAACCTCAAAATCGAATCCAGAAGGTCAGAGCAGATGAAATAGGACGCCAAATCCAAGCTTATGCCCTTTATTGCGGGATTTCACCGACAGGAAGCAATTCCACAAAAGGGGCAAATTCGCAGAATAGTTGAAGTGCTGGAGGAGATCCACTAGAGAATCCCAGTGGGAAGGAACATGCCGAGTGGGACTTCGATCTCTACATGGACATACTGCCGGGCGCGTCCTCGCAAAGAAAGTAAGATCTGGCCAAAAGAATTTGGTCGCGTTGTACTAATAGAAGTATCTTTTTAGCAGAACCACCAGTAATACGATCTCCGACGACCTCTCCAATAGGACTCCGGACATCACCACCAGCTACTTGCCAGCTTAAGCGGAGCTGGAGGACCCGCTGGCTTCTATAGGGAGGAGGAAAATATGGCGCCTGCTAAAGAACAGTTGGAGAAGCCATAGCCAGCCACTGCCAGGATGCTGGGCGACTTCCTGCAGCATCAGCGGATCAACCCCGTTCCCAATACGGCTCCCACTTCCTCAAGGTCCAATATGCCTATCGAGACCGGAGCTGGACTGCGGTGGAGCGGGAAAGATAGCGAAGCATCCGTGGGACGGGAAGGAAGCTTTAAACTACTAATTAACATAAATAAAAACATTCGTTGAACATTCCATTTATTTTTATTTTAATTTCTTTGTGTACCAGCAGACTCCTCCTTTTTAAATTTAAATTTCAAACCCAACTGCCTGAGAGTAAGACCATGCTACATGTATTGCGGGTGAACTTTGAAAACTTCGGTCACACTACAAAGAATACGATTTTTCGACTAGTGAAACTCTTAGCCGATCTGAGTACTAGGCTTAAGCCTAGTTCTCACATCGACGAAAACCGAAAGCTAACTATAGAAGTGAGCGAGAGGCAAATTCGTGGCTAAAGCCTAGTACTCAGATCGACGAAAACCGCGAGCTAACCATAGGAGTGAGCGAGAGGCAAATACGCGGCTAACGCTTTTCGTCTGGTCTGTTTTTCAGCGCGGTACTCAGATGAGCTAAGGAAATACCAGAAAAAATACCAGATTTTGCGAGTGAATTTTCGATGAACGCCGTTAGCCGCGGCACAAAGAATAGGAAATTAAATCTTTGGCGGTGTTTGTGCAAATGCGATGTGGAGACTAAAAATTAAAAATTGAAGGAAAACAAGAAAGGATGCAAAAGAAAAAGGACGCCTAATCCAAGCTGTTGCCCATTATTGTTGGACTTCAACGACAGGAAGCAAGACCTACTAGAGGATCCCAGTGGGATTTCGCTCTTTACATGGAGATCCTACCGGGCGTGTCCTCGCCAAGAAAGTTCAGGCCAAAAGAATTTGGTTACGTTGTACTAATAAAAATATCTTTTTAGCACAGCCCCCAGAATAATCTCCGAAGAGCTCCATTGGGGAATCACACCACCTCCACCAGCTACTTGGCAGCTAAAGCGGTAATGGCGGACGCGCCCGTTAAGGGGCACCTGGAAAAGCCATTGTTAGAATGCTGGTCGACTTCCTCCAGCATTAGGCGGGACAACCCCGTTCAAAATCCGGCTCCTTCTTCCTGCAGATGGCGCGGAAAAGATGGCGAAGCATCCGTGGGACGAGAAGGAAGCTTTATACTACTATTTTACATGAATAAAAACATTCGCTGAACATTCCATTTATTTATTATTTAATTTCTTTACGCACCAGACTCTTCTTCTTTAAATTGCTCAAATTAATTTGATTTCCGTTTGTCAACAAACCTAGTTTCTTGACAGTAAGACCATGCTACATGCACTTCGGGTGAACTTTGAAAACTTCGCTCACACTACAAAGAATAAGATTTTTCTACTTGTGAAACTCTTAGCCGATCTGACTAGACTTTAATAATTTATATTAAATGAAAACAGAGCCGAAATCATATTTCATGCTTGCGTTACTTCAGCAATGTTCTACCATCAATACATATTTTTTTTTTCAAATTTTTCAATTTTTAACTTTAAATTATTAAAATTTTTTGGGGGGTAAAGTCAATTTTTTCCTCTGGCTACACTTACATACATACATATGCAGATCGAATTCATTGCGTGCTTTAAAGTCTGCTTGGGAACACGTTTAGACGCTGATAGTAAGAGCTCAGCGATGTCAACTGTTTTTTTTGGAACTATTGTGCACACGAAGTCTTTCAATGAATTTGAGTCATTCGAAAAGGGATTTTTGGTGGTAGACGACTGCGGAAAGGTTCACATTAACTTCCCCATAATAAAACAGAATCGTAAAAATATTTTGCATCTAGATAATAGGAATTGGCCATGACTACCAGGAATGGGTGTCCAGCAACCCGGTCCGGGCCAAGGATCTGCGCGAGGTTTGGCTGACGGATTGCCAGTTCATCATGCCTGGCTTCGTCGATTGCCATATACACGCTCCGCAGTTCGCACAAGTGGGCCTGGGACTCGACATGCCCCTTCTGGACTGGTTGAACACGTACACCTTCCCGCTGGAGGCAAAGTTTTCCGACCAACAATACGCCCAACAGGTTTACCAAAGCGTTGTCGTAAGTACATAGCAGTAAACATAGGAGAAGCCAAGATTCTTATCACACACCCCCCGCGGTCGATTTCTATTTTCTGATAATGATTATGTGATAACCCAGCACGCAACGCTGCGCTGTGGAACCACCCTGGCTTCCTATTTCGCCACGAACCACCTGGAGTCGACGCTGATCCTGGCGCGGGAGGCGGTGCGCCAAGGCCAGCGGGCGCTCGTTGGCAAGGTTTGCTCCAACTGCAACAGCCCTGACTTCTACGTGTGAGTACCGAGCGTGATGGATTTGGACTGGTCAACTTAGTTGTTCTGTATAGGGAGACTGCAGAGGAGTCGGCCAGTGCTACTTTGGCGTTCGTGGAGGAGATGCGGAAGCTCGGCAGTTCCCTGGTGCTACCCACAATCACTCCCCGCTTCGCTCTCAGTTGCAGTAAGGAACTACTAAAGGAACTGGGCGGTATTGCAAAGCGATTCGATCTTCACGTCCAGAGCCACATCAGCGAAAATCTAGCAGAGATCGAGATGGTAAAGGGGATCTTTAAATCCAGTTACGCCAAAGCTTACGACGAGGCTGGACTGCTGACAAATAAGGTGACGACGTCTTAGGTTGAGTTTGGGATCTCTACTTATCCTTCTTGTCTTGCAGACTGTAATGGCGCATGGCGTGCACCTCGAGGACGACGAAGTCGCGCTTTTTAGGACTCGCGGTTGCTCGGTGGCACATTGTCCTGCATCTAACACAATGCTCAGCTCGGGACTGTGCGACATCCAGCGACTTGTTAACAACGGCGTGACCGTCGGTCTTGGCACAGACGTTTCGGGTGGAAACTCCGTTTCAATTCAGGACGCCCTTCTGCGCACGTTGGACGTGTCTAAGCACCTTGACTTCTTCAAAAAACAGAACATACGCGGAACGGGGAAGGCGAAAGCACAAGATCCCAACTACGTTCCGCTGAAGTATAAGCAGGCAATGTATTTGGCAACTTTAGGCGGCGCCAAGGCGCTTTCCCTGGATCATTTGACTGGAAACTTTGCATTAGGGAAGGAGTTTGATGCCCTATTAGTGGATGTAAGCGTCGTAGAAAATCCCGTGCGGAGGCTGAATGTCGACGAGCTGGTAGAAAAGTTCATTTACACTGGCAATGATCGCAATATTTTAGAAGTTTTTGTGGCCGGTAAGCCCGTTAAGAACGACTGCCAATTAAAATAGATTAGTTGTACTCTATCCATTATACTTTTACATAGGCATTTCACAAGGAATCAAATGGGAAATTTATTTTTATAGACACTAAATGCTGAAACGTAATCTTGCTTTTAGATAACTTTCAATATAATTTATGTACAGTTGGACTTTTAAGAAGTAAAACCTATTTTGTGTACTCGTTTTACATTTTATACTCGAAACAGTTATATAAACTATACTTTGAGTTTACATCAATTTTTAGTTTATATGCACAAAGGCAATAAATGGGTTCAGGATATCTCGTACATAATCTAAATGTAGCGAATAAAGTGTATATATATTATATACAACATATCGAGTTCTATGAGATGATGGATAAGGCGTGCAATTTCCGGGTCATTTTAGTGGATAATCGCCAAGGGTGATTACTTCGATTTTATACGTAGCGAACGGCTATTGGATGCAATAGGAATGTAGGGATTGGCTTTGCTTGTATACAAATTAAGTTCATTGTCTTCAAGTGTTGAGAATTTCAAAGGGGCTAATAAGGGTCTCCTTAGTTGCCTGCGCAGTTGGTGGCACTAGCCAATAATTTAACGTTACAGATTAAAGCTTATACTCTTACAAGAATTTACACTATGTTCCGCTGACAGTACTATAATTAGGGCTAACTGCTTTAAATATATAGGTATAACACGCGTTTTACGCATTGAACATATTTTGCTGCGTGGCATCGTTTTCGAAATCTGTCCATGCATTGTTCAGTTCCATAAAAATGAGCTTGGCAATCTCTTCGTTCTCTGTCCCGTTGTGCTAGAATTAAAACACAAAAATAAAAAATAAAATGTATTTTTAACAAATGGCACCTACCTTGTCAGGATGCACTGCTAGGCAGGCGCGACGGTATGCCTTCTTGACTTCAATCGGGGTCACCATGGTGGACATCTGGCAAGGCTGCCACTTTGCGTTGTCCCACAGCACTGTGTGCATGGAGCACAGAAGCGCACGGATGTTGTTTTTTTTACCATCGGTCTGAGATTAGGAAATTAAAACGCAGTTCTTATCCATCCTTCGTAATGCCTTACCCATTCCATAATCCGCACTTTTTTGGGGTCCATATCCTTAACCAAATCTTCCTTGCGCATTTCATTGATGGACCGCGGACCCTGGCTCATTTTGCTGCCGAAAGAGTAGCCTTGTTGGCCTAGAATGTCTGCAAATATATCGGAGCTCTTGGTTTCACCAGCACCAGCTTGCTGTACTGGCTTTTGTGAATCGAAGTGGACACGACTGTAGTCCGGTCGCGATTGAGCAGGTACCGACTGTGGTTGCGACTGTGACCTGACAGACCCCATAGGCTGACACTGCTGTTGTGGAAGTGTCTGGATAAAGTTTTCTTGGGGTCTCGAGGATGTGGACGGCCGGTGAGTGGGGCTAGAGAATTGCGTCGCGAGGGGACTGCTGCCAACAGGAGACTTTCCACTCAGAGTGCTCCGGTTAAAGTTTATGTTGAGTCCTGAAGCCAAGTTGGCGATGTCCGCAAAGGGATCTGAAGATGCCTTGGGCGGCTGGGTTGGTGAGCGATCAGTTTTAGCCACCGCTGGCTTATTAACAAAAGCTGGTAAGGAGCCAACAAAAGGTGGAAGCTCTGGCCCGCCCGATTTATTTATGCTGGGCGCATAGCCTTGGTCTTCAGAGCTAAATATGTCGAACGGGTCAGTGCTGACTCTCGGCAGCGGGTGCTGAAGTGACGGTGGTGGAAGTATGTCGGGAATGGGCGCTGAGCCTATGCCCGTTGAGTCATCATCGCCAAAGGCTCCTAACAAGTCAAAGCTGGCATCTGTGCTGGGCTTGGCGCTGGTTAAAGGATCCGCTGCTGGTGCGTCATTAGGCTGCTGGTTTAGGTTAAGCAGGTCGATAGGCGGAGAGGGCTCTGGCACAGTCGTCGGAGGTTCGTGGGCAATCTCTGTGACATCGGGCAACACGAGCGGAGAGCTCGAGTGATCGCTCTTCCGAGGCCCCAGCGGTGACGATGGACGCGTGGGCTTGGTAACTAGAGCACGGCAACATGTTCACTACAATGCGCAAACTCAAAACGCACAATAACTTACCGAAATTGTCCAGCATTTCTGCAAACTCCAGGTCCGAGCTGAACAAAGCGGCTGGCGATCGCATGGGCTTGGCTGGTATCCATGGCGGCTTACGGCTGGGAAGGATTTCGGAGTCAGTCACAGTTAGCGAGAGCGATACGCTGAAGGTTGCGGTCACTTGCTCGGGATCTGGCAGGTCGTCCAGGTCTTGGCTCGTAAACGTAATTAACGTTTCTGGTTCGGGAATAAACCCCGTGTTTATTTGAAGCTGACATATCTTTAGGCCTTGTGGTCGCACCATTCCCTTTCGGGCGTGGTACAGCACAACAGTCACATCACCACAGACGGTTAAATTAATCGGCAGCACTATTTTTCCTGGGCCAGCTTTATGAAATCTGGCAACCCAAAACGGGACTTATGTATTAAGATATTAACATTGCTTCGGTTCGAGCTAATCTTACCCGATTTTTTCATAGTCCTGCAGTGTGCTTAGCAACAAGGTCTCGTTACAGTATATTTCCATGTAAATCCGACAGCCGTCGCGTACCTTGGTCATTCTGGGAACGGGCTGGCAACAAAGCGACACAAGATTTGTGTTCTTGTAGTGTGGCAGCAGGGGAGTATGCCGAAGGATGTCACCAAAGTAGTACAGGTAGCGGAACTCAGAGGGGCGCAGGTTAATGGTGTGGCGCTTAACGGCGAAAACCTGCACAGCGTCTTCCGGCTCCTGCAGCAAATCTGCATACATGAGTAACGCGCAGATGACGGTGGCGGCAGTGCACCCACCCGAGTCTCCTGTCTGCACGATCACAATAGATTTTGGATCCGCGTTAAGAAAATTGTACATGTCTGCTGATACGGTAAACAGACCCTAAAATAAAAGTATCGTCATTAGGAACGGAAGATAGCATCAAGCCGGATTAATGTATGTACAATGTACAAATATATAAGATACCAGCAACACACTCAAAATAAAATGTACCTTACATTTTAGAAAATCGCCATAAAAATGTATTTTTTCGAAATACCAGGAAATTCTTTCAAAAGTTAAGAAAATTTTCCTTAAATCAAGAAATCATTACTTAAGTATGTATAGGAAATGGTTACCATAAGCAAGAATCGCCCTAAAAACAAGAACTTATAGCTAGAAATTATTTCCTGAAAATTCGATAGTCTAACGCAAAAACCAAATTGTTTTGCATCACCTTTTCTAAAAATGAGTACCCTTAGCCTAAAAAGTTTTTTACCCTAAAAAATCACCATATTTTCTACAAAAAATAAATGTCTTATGAAAAATATAAATTTTTTTTTTGTATGATCTGTACCGAATTATAAAATTTCTGAACTTACAGCGGGCTGGGTCGATTCAAAGTGACACCTTTTATTTATTTATTGATTATTTTTTATAACTTTTAATTTATTGTTTTGATGAAAAATATTCGAATAAGCTTTAAATATATAAATTAAGAACATTACACAGTTTTTAGATACCTAAAACGCCAACGGTACAGAATTTTACAAGTAGAATTCACATGTTTAAGTGCCACATTGGCCCAGTACGTAGTGTTCGCTCTTTGCGGGTTCTCTGGATCGTTCTCACCGGTCAAGCAAAAAGCATTAAATAAGTTTTAATACTCGATGCCCTACTACAGCTCTTATGAATCAGCAAAATTATATTTTAGATACTTATCGGTCCAAGTATTTGATTATCAAGGGATCTTTGAGTACCAGAAAAAACACCAGAAGTGCCTATCAGTGTGTCCCGTAGGCAGTGTTGTAAAACTTTTTTACATACGAAATATCGGAAATATTGTTACAACTATTTAAAAAACAAACGAGTACCTCGACTATCAGATACCCGTTACTCAGCTAAAGGGACCAAAGGGAAATGCAGATATCCAAGCAGCAAAGCGATATTTAAATGCGCCACCTACCGGCGGTAGACAGATTTAAGCGTTATGGGCGTTAAAGTGGGCGTGGCAAACTATTTTTTTTGATCAATCGATAGGTATTGACGAGACTAATACATTTCAGTTAAAATTTTGTACCTAGCATGAAAATTGTGGGCGTCACAGGTTTAGGCGGTTTGTGGGCGTGCAAAACTTTTTTTGGGTCAATCGATAGGTATTGATGAGAACAATACATTTCAGTTAAAATTTTTATTCTAGCATCAAAACTGTAGGAGCCACCGTTTTGGGCGTTAGAATGGGCGTGGCACTCTGCTGAAACAAACTTGCGCTGCGTAAGAAGCCTAGCTCTAATAGTTTCCGAGATCTCAGCCTTCATCCGGACAGACAGACAGGCGGGCAGACGGACATGGCTAGATCGACTCAGCTAGTGATCCTGAGAATATATGTATATGATCCTCAAGAATATATATACTTTATGGGGTCGGAAACGCTTCCTTCTGCCTGTTACATACTTTCCGACGAATCTAGTATACCCTTTTACTCTACGAGTAACGGGTATAAATACTACGTGGGCTAGTAACGAGGTTTGGGAGAAAGAGAGGCTAAAGTGTAAACGTGAAAAATTGATCTGTTGTGGCCGTTGGGGATAAAATACGCGTCGAATTACACCCCATTTGTTAAAATCGGATGATTCGTTTAAAAGTAATTCGCAAAACAAGATTTTGGGGACTTCTCAAAGTAAAAATTATTATTTTGTTTGTCAGTTTGTCATATTGTCCCAAAACGTTATTTTAGAGTCCTGAAAATTCTAGACGACGTTAAACAGCTCAATATAAGAAACATGAATTCTACCACTTTTGGAAAAACTAGCTAGTTTGACGAGAAAATAGCTATAAATAGCTCAATTTTGTACACCCGTAACTTGTGATATAGCTTGTGATATATGTTATTAGAAAGGTATTTCGAAATACTATGTACGCCTTTCTAACACGATTTGTATGAACACCACCGTTTAAAAATTATGGGCAAAAGTTTTTTATTAAGATTTTCTAACCTTTTTTTTTTTAATTGGAGAATTGATTTTATTTTTTCGTCCCAAACTTTTTATAAATTGCCTGAAAATTTTAGATGATCTTAAACAGCTCAATTTCTTAATTTGTTTACATTCGGACGCTGCTATTCAATATGCCGAATGTAAAAAAATTAAGAAATTGTATTTATTTAGTAAATCGTATAAATCATTTTCGTC